CGCTGTTCAAGCTTGGAGACCCTCGACCGTTGAGGATCCCAGAATCCTTGAAACATTTCAAAGGCGTGCAACCAATCTAATGATTGGGCAGGGTTCACTCCCCTGTAACGCGATAGCTCTCCTTTGAGAAACAGGCAAATAAGAGGTGACCTGATACAAGCCTTCCACATGATGCACGGTTCTCTCCTATTGTGTATTATGTATTTTTGAAATGGTACTGGCAATGTCCTTGATGGCTCTTTTAAGGTATAGCATATTTTTCATACTCACAGTTGATGTAAATCTGCAGATCTTTAAAGTATGATCCACTTTAGTGCGAAACGATGTGGCAGAAGAAAATATTTAGAATAATTTTAAAACTCTGACTATATGACGCCGAGTTAGTCAAATAATATATCATCAATTCTTCTTTGAAAATCAAAAATGGTGTCGGCCGTCACCGTCTTACTTACTAGGGAGTTTCATGGTCATATCACTTGTTGGCTGAACAAAGACTTTCTAAGGTCCAGTTGCGTGCGTTCGCGTCCGACTTTGTCCAGATGACTGCGCAGGCAGTTGTGTAGATAAACTCGAGAAGGTAGGACTACCTCATAAGGCCGCCTGCGCAGCGCGCGACGCGCGCTCTTCGGGCTTACGGGCTCCCGATTTTAGGGGAGAGGATGGTTGGGGCATGTCAGGGAACTAATTATATCGCAAAAATCCTGTAAAATAAAAAAGTTACGAGGGTAAGTTGGGACGCGTACTCAAACCTCGGACGGGGACACTGAAGTAAGCTATATTGTCATCGCTAACCCCCTACCTGACCAACGGCGAGTGCGTGTGTGGAGGGGACGTGCTCTAACCTCGGACGAGGTAAGTTAGAAACATTTTCTAGGATTACCACTGACCCCAACTGAAATAAAGGCGAACAAGCAGAAGTTGGAATATTTGTGGAAACTAACTTTACTTGAAATTTGTAAGTAGGCGATTATTCCCGTGGTTAATTCTAAAACCCATTTTTGATTAGTATACTGACTTGAGCGGTTATTGTATGCGGTGGTCGTCCGATCATCCAATCCCTGCTGGATCGACGGCTGGCATGAAGACGACTGGAAGATTGTGGCTAATTCAACCTACTTAAAAATGTAAGTATGAGTTCCGTCGTTTGAATGAGTGATCGTTTAAGGAAACAGCTTCGCTCTTGGGAGGCACGAGGCAGAGGAAATAATTTCAAGAAGGTCTTCTGAATTCCCAACGGTTCTTTCTCAGAGTCATGGAGAAAGCTGCTCGGAAAAGATGAGGAAACTAAAAGGTTCATAAAATCAGTGTTAATCTACATTCGCAGATGAACTACTTAGCGACCTAATTTCGAGTGGCAAGTTATTCTTAAGAAAACTATATCTGGAAGCAAAGAATATGGAGCGTTTAGATGCGAAAGATGCAGTAGGAGGTATAATGAGTGCGGAATTTTCAAGGTTGTATGTACTTCTGACAAGGGTAATTACAGAAAGCTTGGGGGGATTTGCACTACCATTAAGGCGAAAAAGGCGGCAAAAGCCCCGCTTCCAGTCTCCTGACCCAGAGAAATTTTAGTTTCGTTAACTGGCATCTATAAGAGTAGGAAGTATTTGAAAGTGCTGGATACAGGAATTTTCTTTTTGAAATGTCTTCGGACGTTTTCAATTTTTGAAGGGCTAAATGCGTTCAGAAGACCGAAGTATTAGCAGTAACATTCTAGTGTGGGAAGCAAAAATATGCCATCAATTTCAATTTTATTTCACGAAGGCAGAAATTGTAAGAAATAAAGCCACAACTCTTAGCAGCTTTGGCCGTCCTTCTATCGGAGTGAGCCGACAGATCTAATATGTTGGTTTTTACCTAAGTCCTTGATGGTGGGATGTTCAGTCATGGGGCACCCTTGGAAAATGACAGGTTGAAACAGCCTTTCAGGCCCAAAAGACATTTAGCGACACTTAAAAGACGAGGACTTCATTGGCTCCGTGGAGCTTCATGCAGACGTGGTGTCCAAGTCCGAAGGAATTTCTTCTAAGCAACGCTCGGCCGTGGAGTTAGAGAAGGAGTACACACACTTAAGATCATCTGCATGAATATGAGGTTGAGAGTGTTCAATTGTGTATGTAAAACAAGAACAACAGAAAACCTAGCACAGAAACTTGAAGGACACCAGGGTATCATGGTAAGGTTTTCTTTTGAGGGCGCTTTCGCCTGTGATTAATAATAAAAACAACATCCACACTTTCAGTTGGTCGAATAACCGCCTATTCCAACACCCCCTTGGTTATATTACCTAAGAGGTCTTCTTGTAATATGCTATTGGTCTATAGGCATCCTCTGCTGACAAATAGGAGCTTATGCTGGTTTGTTCTTTCTGCACACTCTTCACATACATTTTTAGTTCAGTATAAATTACAAATGGCTTTTATTTCCTGACGTGCATTGATCACGCATTAAATGGGCATTAACTACACCTTAAACAAGTATCAAGTCTTGTCCTACGGTTGCAGTAAGAAACTTGGGTGGGGGAACTTTTGCGATTAGGCGGCCTCAAAAGAAATCCTTACCCGTAACAGTTTCTGGATGCACAGGTATTGAATGGGGCTCCCAGTATTCCATCTGCCCTGTCACTCCAATGTTCAGTGACGAACACTCCTCTGTGACACGTAGACTTCAGAGCAAAGTAACTTATTGTAGAAAATGGTGCTCTGATCGGTCATTAAATTTACGAATTCCCGCTATTGTCAAGGAAATGAAAACCACCGTTCACTTGGAAGGCACAAATATTAGCTAATCCCTCGGATACCTTCGGCCGCTGCTGTAACGACCATAACACATAGCCGATTTGATGTTGCAGATTACTGGATGCCAGCTAACAAGGCAGATATCAACAATGTGTTGAGTCTTCTACCATGTCACGCTCTGTGTACTTTCTACCTACAAAGGCGGTTTCGGACTCCCAGGGA